CTGCTCTTTAGAAGGCCAGATACTAAAGATGAAACTCAAATACTTTGGCCACCTAATGAGAAGGAAGGACTCCCTGGAGAAGAGCCTAATGCTGGGAACAATAGATGGCAAAAGAAGGAGGGGACGGCAGAGGATGAGGTGGCTAGATGGAGTCACTGAAGCAGTTGGTGTGAGCTTAGGTGGACTCCCGGGGATAGTGGAGGACAGGAAGACCTGGAGGAATGTTGTCCATGGGTTTGCGATTGGTCGGACATGACTTTGTGACTAATAACAACAACAATTATAGGGAAATGTTATTAAAGTACTTTTAAAACTCCACTATCCTCCCTTGTTATCTTTTGCCTCATTTTAACTATTAGCTTTGCCACAAGGTTGTTAACCCCACTCCCCATCATTGTTGTATGGCATATTTTGAACCCGGTCTGCCCATAGAGCAGAATGATGCAGTAGAACAGACGTATCATTTCAAACTCGGGTGAGACATAACATTTTTGAACATGGGTTTGTATTAAGACTCCCTGAAAGAAGAAAACTGACACAGCAAGGAATAAAATAGGTTAGAAATGTGCTAGCTCTGTTCTTTCAGAAATACATGTGTGCATCTGTGCCCATGCATGTCAAGGAACATTCACAGGTGGTGTTTCCTGCCTGCAGTCAGAGAGTTTACTTCACTTGAATTCTACCACCAATTTGGCTGTTTGTGTAGTCCAGGCCTTGTAGCTAACCCTGAAAAGTTGCATACTGCTAGACAAACAAGGACAGTTTTGTTTTTCTTTTCTTCATGCTAACTGGACGAAAGAACCAAGACCTTTACATGGCAGATGCAAATCAGCTGGAGTTGTAGTGATAATTATAGCAATTTCAAAGTCATTTGTGAAGTCAGGCCACTGCAAATACAGCCAGACAGGTGTAGAGAAACATGACATTGGAAGCAGTTGCTGGTGGGTGGATGGTGGGGGTGAGAAGAGAAAATAAAACCCCCTTCTGAGTGAATAAAAATGTCTGAAGTTTCTTTTATATAAACTGAATCTAGCTTGTCCTTCAGCTCTCTGAGAGATTTATGCAGATTACGATGGCTTGCTTCATTCCACACCCCTGTCCTTTTTTTAAAAAAAATTGTGCTGGTCGGTTCAATGAACCATTCCCTTTGAAACCCAATGACTTCTTCCATTTCTCATTAAGTGTTGGGAATGAGCCAGCCAGAGGTGGACTCTTCTCCAGCAGGGATTCAGACTCCTTCTATCAGCACGAGGCACCCCCTTGACAAGCATGTCTTCCATCAGCTGTTTTTCTTTCCCCATTTATTAGTTATATTGTTCTAATTTCTCATTCCTTGAATCCGCCTATTCCTTGCAAAACTTGCTTTTGAACAGAAAAATAAGAGGTCACAAATCAGTTCTTTACACTTGAGAGACGGAGTAATAACAGGTGGCAAGTCCAGAGGCAGCAAGAGCCTGGGATTCTGGTTGTCATGGAAACGTGTCAGACCTGCCGAGAGATGAGCTCTGTCAGCAGTAGGGGGGAAAGGAAAGCGAGAGAAGCTCAGTGCCACTTACCCTATAGGTTCAGATTGTGTGTCAGCCATCCCTCCAAGGAATGGAGGCTGGAAATATGTGGAAACGGCAAAGCCAAACTCTGAACACGGCCTCGAATTGCAGAGAGGAGGGCATGCGGGTGCAAGTCAGAGCAGCTCTCAGCCTAGGCGTCCAACAAAGGGGTTTTGTTTTTCGTTTTCTTCATGCGCTTGATTGCCCACTGTCCTCGGCACTTTTGGGCCTGATCTGCCAACACAGAGGACCAGAGCAGCTCAGAGGCAAGTCATGGAGTACACAAATAGCAGAAATGTCATGCTGCCCATTCTATTAAATTATTCTCCTTAATAATGGAATGATATGCACTTTGTAAAGTGCTTTACAGTTTTCACTGGTATTTGCAAGCTGTGGTGTGAAATCTCTTCCTGCTGCCAAGGGCACACAATTTCTGATTTGCAATGAGAATTGTGAAATAGGTTTCAGAATAGTGTCAGGGGACATAATTTAGGGTCCACACAACTTAAGTTGTAATCAGACAGCAGCAAACTCCATTCCATATTTGTAATGGAATAATTTACATTCAAAGCTTTTCAACACAAGGCTGTTCATAAGCCTTTAATCCACTGCATCTACTTTCACTTTCATCACAGAATCGAGATCCATTAGGAAGAATGTTTCCTTTCCTGCTTTTCCACTACATGACCTCTAGATGGCCCTGAGATATGGTGGAATAGTGCAGATACACAAAAGGAGATTGTACTTTCTTTTGCTTCATAGTTAAATATCCCATTTTCCCTACTCTAAAAAAAACTCCCCAAAAGTCCTGGTTAGGCACAGAAGTGCATCATGACCTTGTCTAAGGAACTTCTAAACAACTGTTAGTATCCAGTCACATGTAGAAAAGCTCAAAGTTATAATCTGCTACAAAGCTGATGGTAGAATGGAAAGCTAAGAAGGCTTATGGTAGTGCAAAAGAGGTTCTAGACGGTATGTTTCAAATATATGAGCTCACAACCCCTCCAAAATCTTGCAGTAATATTATCTGTTTGGCTAACTGTTCCTGCTGGTGGGATAGGAGCCACATCACAAATTACACACGAACCAATATTCTCTCAAAGTCGCACTAGTAATACCTCGAATGAGTACAAGTTTAATTGGTGCAAAATGATATCAGGTCTGGATTTCTCAGCTCAGTATTCAGTGTAGGTGGTGTTGATATGGGAGTAGAAGGAGTAGGAAGATGAAGGACAGGCAGGGGATGCTTTCAGAATTTTGCCTTGCATTGTGAAAATCTGTAGGGTACTGTTGCAGTTTTGAGTATGTTTTGAGTGGAGTCTGAAGTCTCACTTTTTCAAACAATGTGGCTACATAAAACAATTCGATTTGTGAGCACAAATTCAGAGAAGTAATACAGAATAGTCTGTTTCCCACAACATTTGCTTGGCTGGCTTAACATTAACAGTAGATTCTAATTACGTAGAAGAAACTCCCTGTGGTAAGCCCTTCAGGCGTTTCTATCTTTCTCCACATCAACCTCCCTAATGCTGACATTCCTGTAGGCCATTCCTCCTGGAGTGGGATGAAAGGAGGGAAAAGGCACTTCAGATAGCTGAACCAGAAAGGAGGGGAAGATTCCAGTGCTGAGATATAGCAGGAATCTTTCATGTGCATTTTGGTTTGAAAAGTCTTCTTTCAGGACTTAGACATACAAATAGAATAAAGGAGAGCTCTATTTAAAAAAGATCAACCCAACCAAACCCTGAAAAGTTAAGGACAGTCTAATAAAACTTAAGAACAGAACTGGATTAATAGAGACAATTTAGAGTATAAAATACAATGTGAATCATGGGACACTGAGCAATGCAAATGATATGCACCAGCCACAACATAATCGCCTTGCCCCAGGTGGCCAAACTTTTGGCATTACTGAGAAGGGATCCAAAGGTGTGCTGCTATTCCTTCTGTGAAGGGACTCTGACTGCACAGGGATCTTGGGTTGTGCAGAGAAGTCCTACAGCTATACAGCCATTATTTTCTAACTCTAGATGTTAGAGAAGCTTGGCCATGGGTGTGTCAGCAGCATCTCCAGCTGTCATGGTTCTGCTTCCTCTTTTCTTGTGAACACATGAGAGCAGTCTTGCGAAATTTTGGCCTACAGCAGCTGAAATGGCTGAGGGTTTTGTAAGAAAAGTATGCTTGGCATACCAGGCTATCCTTAAAGTGTTTTTAGCAGTGTGCACTTTCCCACATCATCACAACCCACCCTGGCAATAAGCCAATGTGACCTGGTCTTCTGAGAGCAACTCATGATGCACCTGACAGATGACTGGGCTCACTCTGGGTTATTCAGGTTTCCCAAACAACACACCCTGAGAACCCATGGACTGTTCTAGGGTTGTTGCTACTCACAGTGGCTTGACTGTTTTGAGAAGTATCCGTGATGTTGGTTGTTTTGAGAAGTATTCAAGGTGTCTTATGAAGTTGGATGACATGACCTGCAGTAAGCGAGCCCCAACAGCCAGTGAGCTGCTTGGTCAGAGAGGCAAAAAGCCTTGCCTGCTTTTGGCAAGCAACTGTGGGGTGATCCCCCTGACAGCAGCCTCTAAAGTGACTAAACGACACTTGGAGACTGTTGTTAGAAGACTTCCCCTGCCTGCAGTGGTATGAAGCAGCCACCCTGGTCAGTGACTTGAGAGAGGGCTCACAGGCCATCAGCAAAGACAGTCAGGAGCTGCTCCTGCTTGCTGAAGGGCCATGCACTGGTCATCTGCTTGGCGACGTTTCTTCAAGGTTGAAGCAGTGCTGATGATCTGTTTCAGAGGAAGCAGAAGAAGGGAGGTACCTTCTGTCCTTCCTGTGTGATTCAAGGCACAAGACCTGTTTGTGCTATAAGGACAGAGATGTTCTTGTTCCTCATTTGTCCCTGTACCGCAAACAAGGTCATTGCCCCAGCCCCATCTGGGACAAAGTGCAGGGGAACAGACCTCTCAGGGTGTTCTCTGGCTTACTTCCAGGAGGAATGAGGGAGGAGGAGAGAAAGAAGTACTCAGAGCGAGTCTCATCCTCTGTCAGGCTCATTGTGGATACTTTGCAAACCATCCATTCACTAAGCTGGGTTGCCATGGTGGGTTGTTTATAGCCAAGTTATTGGCCAAGATGGTTCCCTTGAAAAGAAAATTGATAGACTCCAAACTAAGTGAATTGAACTTGGAACTGAATCAATGGAACCTGTTAGTTTTGACTTAAGTCTCACTGATCTTGGTGTGAAGTTCAACTAACTTAGTCTGGATTCATTGCACTTTGTTTGCAGCTATAGAGCAAGGCTATCTAGATGCATGTCTTGCCTGATCAGTTTTAACTATCTTCATTTGCATTCTGGGGAGCTTCTTTTACAAATGTGGGGTTTAAGCTTTGCTAAAGAGAAAATACTGCAAGGTACACTTTCCATATTTTATTTCCTATCTGCAGCCCAGAAAGGACCAGATGGGGCCATCATTTCCAATAATTACTGTGACTTCTGTCTTGGAGGATCCAATATGAATAAAAAAAGTGGACGACCAGAGGAACTTGTCTCATGTTCAGACTGTGGGCGCTCTGGTAGGTGATTCCCTCTTGCAACTTTCCATGCACAATGAACAATGTATGGCCTCCTTCTTCCTGTGCTTATGGAGTGTGAATCAATTATTTTGTTTTGTATGATTGAGGTTGGTTAGACATGTTCATTCCAGAGCATAATTTTGTAAGCACATGTTAAAGATAATGGCTAATATTACAGAAACATATTCTTAGAAATTGGAACTTGTATCTAAAGAGATTTGTTCCTATTTAAGTGAAGACAGTTGGACAGGAGGATTTTGGGGAGGGGGGTCTTCTGATGTTTTAATTACAAATGTCCTACTGAGATTTTTGTTTCTAGGATAATGAATATTTCCATTGGTGTCTCTGTATCTGTCTCTCAGTTTCTCTCTTTCTCTCTTTCTCTATCTCAAATACAGAGACATATGCACACATGCGCACACACAAATGCACACACAAACTCAAGGAAATAAGAATTGAGGTCAAACATTAATTTTAACAACATAATTTTTAGAAGTTTTTGATTTCTCCTTTTAACCAACATGTGTGTATGTATGTGTATATGAGTTTATACAACTTGTCTTTATGAACAATTTTTATTTCTCAGTTGTGGAGTTTAAGTATGTTTGGGTGCTTTAATCTGAGTTGGGTAGTTGCTTTTAATGAGGAAGAAAACAAAAACTTGTAACTATTTTATTATACTTTATTCCATTTTATTATTTTTTAAGGCTTGGGGATAGAAAGCCATGGGTTAAAAGCAGTCTGTCCAGTTTTTTTTTTAACGCACATAATTATTTGCATGCAGCCTTTCTGTGAGCAGGATTCTACTCATTAGAATTGCTGATGGCGTGTGTGTATGTGTCTGGTGGCAGGAAGGTAGGGAGAAGGCAATGGGTGCTTGTCCACACAGTAACAAGCACCGCTGAAACCTGAAAGCTATGGCATTGTTTCTGCTGCTGACATGAACAGCATTATGGGTGTTGTAAATGTTCAGTCTATTGTCAAAAGAATGTAGAACCTTCTCCTCAAAATTAACAACAAACCTTTCATCAATACATTGGGTCACAAAATTTCTCCCTGCTTGTTTTGAACCTATGCAATGGAATGCTTTCTTGTGCTTTTGTGTGAGACTCACACTCATTACAGAGAGCTGACAAAGAGTCTTCACCACCTTAAAGACTGGCAGGTTTACTGAGGCATAAACTTTTGTGGATGAGTGCCCACTTCAAATTGATGAAGTGCTATTTTTAGTTGGCAGGTGTGGATTGATGTGTGCATGCACACACACATGCACACACACAACATACACATGGAAATAGATATGCGGTGGGGGCAAAGCGTCATGAAATGCTATAGATACACTTCGTGCAGGGATCTCCCATTTGTTGCCTGGCCTTAGTTCTGCCAGAGCCTAAACAAACGGACAATAGGTATGCTGAAAATGAAAGAAAAGCAAATGATTTATTAGAAAAGAAATGTAGAAGCACATGTGTGACCGCTTGGCAAGGTAGCAGGGCTCAAGACACTGTACCCATTTGACAGTCTGCCAGAAATTTACACATGTCACAAAGTATAAGAGAAAAGCGTAACTAAGCACACAGTGATTTTCCTAGTTACTCATGCTATATTGTTTTTATAAACAAACCTGGCACTTACAGCAACATTTTACAATAACAGAAACATGTCCCTTATCTCAAGAGTCGAGGTTACATGCATACAGGCAAAGAGAAAGCTTCCTGTCTCTATTTTCTACTTCTTTTAGAGTGTTACAGAGTTTATGTCATTCTGACCTAATGCCTTTTCTTTCGCTGATTCCTGACAGTTGCCAATACTGTCTAGATGCGTAAGCATCTCATGTGAGAAATCCACTGGGTGGGTTTGTCTATCATGCTAACACACTCTAACAATAAACTACAGTGGACTGGTTGTTTCAAGAACCCACAATTCACCCACCAGACTGTCAGGTTCACGGTGGGTTGTTTGCCCCCTTGGCTCCCTTTCAGTGCACTGGTCAGTAACCCAGGGAACACCATAGCAGGACCAACTTTTCTTTCTCTCCACTCCATAATAGTTATTTTTTTTACTTGCTTGCTTGTTTCAATTTTCCTCCTTTATCTAGAGGAAACTAGAGATTATCTTCCGGAATCTCTAGTTTGACAGTGTGTGACAGCCTGCCCAGCAACTGGGTGGGTTTCGATGTTGTACTAATACACCATGGCAATCTAGCATGGTGGGCTGGGTCTTTCAAGAAGAATTCATGGGTTCCTTGACGGAGACAACTGTCAAAATTCTAGATCACCTTTAAAAGGGGGGCTTCACGGGGCAATTGTTTGTTTTTTCACAAGAATGCTTACAACAGTATGTCGGGCAAATTTCAGAAAAACGTCCTTACTAATGGCAGTGCAGTGGTTCTCTCCATGGCTGCCATTTTTGTCCCTAAGTGTTGCTATAGTATTACTTAGCATCACTCTGGGGGCATTATGGGGAAAATGGTGGCCTCTTCCTACCAGTGCTTCCACCACCACAAAACACAGACATTTGTGGCAAAGAGACAGTTGCATTGTGCTGAGGAGCATTCTGGAAGAAGAGGACAAGAGCAAGTGGGGACCACCATTTTATTTATTTATTTATTTATTTAAAACATTTCTATGCCGCCCCCATCGCAACAATGCCTCAGGGCGGCTCACAAAGGATACATAAAAACATACATAAATAATAATAATAATATAATAATTTAAAAGAAAAAAACATTAAAAAACCCCCAGTGCATTTTCGGCTAATTTTAAAATCCTAATTAATTCAATAATTTAGCAATTAAAATAAGTTTTAAATAAAAAGGTTCCCTAGGATGGGCCTCTGGGTGTCATTGCATTGCCATGCAGTGTCCTACCAAGAGGTATTTTAGAGAAAATGGGCACCATCATCTTTTGGCCACTGCGAAGAGGACTATTTTTTTGGCACGACCACGAGATAAAAGTACTGGTGGCAAAGGCATGAAAAATAATCCTCCACTTTCCCATAAAATTTCACCTTGATTCAACTGAAAGTCCAAAAAGTTGAAGATTCATCCCTCTCTACACGCACTGAAACTTTCACTGAATTATTACAAACTGGACCTCTTTCATTGCAGGGTGATTTTTTTAAAGGGGAAGAGTCCTACAGTTTTGTGTGTGTGTTTGTGTGTGCCCATACATGCAAATATAGACACAAATACACACAGAGAAATACACACAGTCCTAAGCCAACTTCTCCCAGAATTCTTTATAGAAAAATTGCTTTTGAAAAGAAATGTAATACCACATTCAATGTTCTCTTGGGCTGAGTTCAGGGTTCTTTTGCTTTCTTTCCATATGAGGTGGCTGATGAGTGCCTACGAATGCCCCATCTCCCATTGTACGAAAAGCAAAAAGTCCTTCTGGGTTCTGTATGCCTTTTATTGTACCATCATTTCTTCAGCTGTTTGTGGCCTTCTTGGCTTCCTGCCTGTCAATCAGAGCCATAGTTGAAGACAAGCTTTTCTATATGAGAATCTGCTCCATCTACATTTGGTTTCGCCACAAAAGTGAGATCTGAGTTCTGCAGAAGAGCACTTCTTTTGCTGCTACATGTCTTTGAGGTGGCAATGTGCTAGAGTGGAATAGTGCAAATACAGAAGTGAAAAAATGGTTTCTTTCACTTTCTTACTCTCCTCCTCTGAAATAAAATGCCACTTTGAGGAGTTTTCAGCATCACTTTATGGCAGTGGAGGCCTTTCCTCTGATTCCTGCTCATAATGCTCTAGATATGGGGCATTATGAAGAGGGCAAAACAGGGGTCAAGCTGCTAACACAGTTGCTGCTGTTGCCAGTTGCAGTGGCAGCACAATCCTTTCCCAACCTCCCTGCTTAGAATGGAAAGAAAGACAGTGAGCTACAATTCCTGCCAATGGGGAGCCCTCCCTGGGAGAAACAGTTGGAGAATTTCTTTTCTTTCTGAAAAATTAGGTGAAATTGTTTCCACAATTTTTCTGCCCACAAGTGCACTGCTCTGTGTACATACACACACATTCCTGCAAACAGAATAACACTTCATGTGTCGGACGAAGTGGGTTCCAGTCCACCAAAGCTTATGCCGTAATGAATGTGTCAGTCGTTAAGGATGCACAACTTTCTTTCTTTCTTTCTTTCTTTCTTTCTTTCTTTCTTTCTTTCTTTCTGCGGCAGCAGACTAACCCCTCCAGAAGTTGTTACAGAGAAGCTAACTTTGGCCACAATCCTGTTTGGCTAATGAGCCCTATAGGCAGGCAAACCAACAGTATTTCTAGCATGCCACAGTTTGTTACAATTTTGCTACAAAATGTTTTTCTTTTTCTTGCATTTCATAATGTGCCACAGAAATCTGATCTGGAGTTAAGCTTCCTAATGTTAGAGTTTAATATATTAACAGAGTAGAACTATTTTGTTTGTTTCCTGTAAGCTGCCACAAGAATAAATAAAACCCCACAATCCGGTAAAGGAAACTATTTGCAAAGCAAGTATTAATTTGAATTTTTCACAAAGAACATGATCTGTAAGACATGCAGCAGTGGTGAGGAACGTGTGTCCCTCCAGATGTTGTTGGACTGCAACTCCCATCAGCCTAGCCAGAGTAGTCAATGATGAGGGAAGATGTGTCCAACAAGATCTAGAGCAGGGTGGTCCAACTTTTCCTACCTTGAGGGCCTCATGAGGACTTTGACACCGAACCTGGGGGGCTGCACAGTGAATTTCATTTCCATATCATAAATTAAAGTGCTGACAATACATTTATTTCATTAAATATACACAATTAATATATTTAATTAACCATTAAGTGAGAGGAAAAAACAAATATGAGGTCCAAGAGCTGGCTTTGCTCTGCAGAGATCACAGGTAGCTCCTTCTCCGAACACAGCCCAAGCCTTCCCTGTTTCTCCCAGTCCCTCCTTCCTTCTCGGAAACACAGAAACAGAGTGAGTCAGAAGGGGTCTTCCAGGCCATCTAGTCTAACCCCTGGGTCTAGCT